CCCGGACACACCACAAACCAAAAGTAAAGAGAAGGTCTTGAGGGCAGAAGAGAGAGAAAAACACTAGAGCGAGAAAAAACAAAGACAGGAATGATGGTAGACTTTCCACTGGCAGCCATGGGAGCCAGACGGCCACGGAGTCCCTCAGAGGAAACAAACTAACCAACCAGTTAACCCAGAATTCTAGACGCAGGAACAGCATCTTGCAAGAGGCAGATGAAATGCAGACTTTTCCAGACAAACCAAAGCTGAGGGAATTCATTTCCGGCATACCTGCCTGCGATAAATGCTAATGGGAGTTCTCCAGGAAGGAGGAAAATGCTAGAATTTGGATCCAGGTGAAAATAAAGAACGTAGCACACTGGGATGTTGGTTTTTTTTTTTTTAAAAAAACAAAACAAAACAAAAACAAAAACAAAACAAAACAAAACAAAACAAGTCAGCTAGCCTTGTAAGGCTCACCCAGACCCAGAATTCATGGAATTCTAGAAAGGTAACTATATGCCTTATATTTGCATAGGCTCAGATCATATTAACCATGCCTCATCACCACCTACTAACCATTATGTAGAGCAAGAATTATCCTCTTCTGCAGATTTATATATTCTTTGGCTTTCAGAGATGATAGGATCTCAGCGATTCAGCCTAATGTCCTCTTCTCAAAAAGTGGAACCTGAGATGAGGGAAGTAAGCCATCTGGCATCACACATGCAGGATAAACAAGCTCTGGGCACTGTCTCCATTTACAAACTTTTGCAAGGACTTTTTCCACTCAAGCCTGTAACATTTTGCAGGAGACAACAAATCCAACTACTTGTGCAGCAAACAAGAAGCTGCTCGTTTTAAAATAATTATTTGGAGAAAAGATCAGAGAGGTGAGGAGAGCTTTAAAATTTAGAAATGTCATTTTGAACAGACTCGATTCTACAATAATTAACAGGAAGGCTATTGGTGAGCTGCTGGTACTTTGTACTCAAGCCCCATCCCACAACTAACTAAAATCTATCTTATGAGCAAGAGGTTGATATTTGAGAGGCGTAAAGACAGGCTTGTAATAAAATAATTTGAAAGAAAGAAAGGAAACCTCTTGAACAAGGCAGCTATTAATGATGAGGAAGCCAGATATGGGCAGGAAGCTCAGCTGTGAATCTTACTCAGGAGAAATTTTGTAGACTGTGCCTGTGACTTTACCCCAAAGCCCAGATGTGTCTATACTGGGAGGGCAGGCTTGGCTGGTGTAGGCAGCTAAATCTGACTTCCCTTCAGTAACCACCCTGGTGGGGGGTAGGGGGAAGGACAAAACCCGCTATTTCATTATTACACCTGATCACAAATAGCACGACAGACCTAGACATTTCTCTCCAGTGTTATCGATGTGTTAAATCATGGTCCTCAAGGAAGCCTCTAATGTACATACTGTGCTGGGTCCCATTTTACAGATAGGGAAACAAAGCTCAGAGGCATGAAGGAAACCTGCCAAGGTCATGCAGGTCCGATTTGGGGGAGCTGGCATGCCTAGCCATGCCTGGGCGTTTACCAGAACCTTCTAACGCCTCCCCGCCATCCCACAATGGCAGTGAAAAAGATTCAAAGTCAAGGCTTAGAAACAGGAAGACACTTCAGTCCAGGGATTGGCAATATTATTCTTTAAAGGGCCAAGTAATAAATAGTTTAGGCTTTGTGAGTCACATATAGACTCAGTTCACATACAACTGAACTTGTAGCATGAAAATATCCAAAGATTATAGGGATCCCTGGGTGGCGCAGCGGTTTGGCTCCTGCCTTTGGCCCGGGGCGCGATCCTGGAGATTCGGGATCTAATCCCACGTCGGGCTCCCGGTGCATGGAGCCTGCTTCTCCCTCTGCCTGTGTCTCTGCCCCACCCCCCTGTATGACTATCGTAAATAAATAAAAAAAAATAAAAAAAAGAAAATATCCAAAGATTATACATAAATAAATGGGCACAGCTCTGTTCCAATAAAGCTTTTATTTACAAAACAGGGGCTGCAGTTTGCTGGCCTCTGTGCTAGACAGTGGTCGTCACTGCTTGTAGGAGCAGGATTCTAGGGTGGGCAGGATTGCAAATGTGGGGCTGTATGTCCCACTCTAATTTCTATAAAAAGTTTGATTTTCTGAGGCACCTTGGTGGCTCAGTGGTTGAGCGTCTGCCTTCAGCTCAGGTCATGATCCTGGGGTCCTGGGACTGAGTCCTGCATCGGGCTCCCTGCATGGAGCCTGCTTCTCCCTCTGCCTATGTCTTAGCTTTGCTCTGTGTGTCTCTCATGAATAAATAAATAAAATCTAAAAAACCCCAAAAACCAAAAAAACTATTTGATTTCCTGAAAAGGGGTTGTCTATAACTTCTAAAATAACAGCTATTAAAAAAAAAAAGTCTGGGATCCCTGGGTGGCGCAGCGGTTTGGCGCCTGCCTTTGGCCCAGGGCGCGATCCTGGAGACCCGGGATCGAATCCCACATCGGGCTCCCGGTGCATGGAGCCTGCTTCTCCCTCTGCCTGTGTCTCTGCCTCTCTCTCTCTCTCTGTAACTATCATAAACAAATAAAAATTAAAAAAAAGATTTAAAAAAAAAAGTCTAAGGTGACCCCTTAAAGGACAGTCATTTGAAACTTGCAAGTTAGCTGAGGGGAGACTAGACAACAAAATAATAGAGCAACCAAAAGAAGCTGAGAGAAAATAGAGGCACAAAGATGCATTAAAGAACATGATAGAAAAACCATGCATTTCGGTAATCATAGTGACTTCAAATAGACCCAAGGCTTCAGGGAAAAGACAAAGACCCTAACCCAGCTATACACTGCTGCAAGAGACACACTGAGAGCTAAAGTCACACAAAGTTTGAAAGAAAAATGGAAGAAAACAGGCTGAGCTAATGATCATGAGTAGTTAGATTCGTATTAGACAAAACAGAAAAAAAATTTAACATTTTTAACATTTATTGAGGATTCTTGCCCAAATCTGTCCATATCCTAAAGGTTGCAAACTTTCTAACTCTACTGCTCCTTCCAGTACATTAGAGGGGGAAAAATATCATAATCTCCAAATCCACAACAATAAAACAATGTTGGAAACTGCCATAGAACACAAGTGAAAAAAAATTTTCTAAGAACCACAGGACTATAAATTCAGGAAGGAAAAATGACAAAAAATGACAAAACAATTTTAGGCAAAAGGCTTATTAAGGTAGAAAGGGTTGCCGTGCAATGAAAGGTCGTGGAAGATAAGCTAATTCTGGATTTGTATTCACATAATAACGGAGTCTCAAAGTAGGCAAATTGCTACTTGGCCCAATTATGGGGAAAATAGGGAATTCTCTAGATCAAGACTTAACACAAGAAAATGAAAACCCTAGATATACAGAAGACTTGACTGATCTAATGGATGTATTTGGGTCTCTGACTTCCCCTAACAGCAGCTGGGCGTCCTCCACGAATTCACACGGGTTATTGGCAGCACTTGACTGCGTGTTAATCCTGAAGCGATTCAGCAAATAGCAAAGACTCGGTACCACATAAACCACAGTTCCTGACAACAATGCAGTTAATGCAGAAACCAATTAAAAAAGGTAACTTAGAAAGATCTCCATGCATCTAGAAATTTTTTAAAAATAAAGATTTCAAAATAACTCATGAATCAGTGAAAAAAATCATAGTGGAAATGAAAAAGTGCCTAGAATTAAATAGTAACACTGCATGTAAACCCTCCCACACACCCAACAGCTCCCGAGGTTGACATTGGCTGGAGGGGTCACTTCTGGGGGTGGGGGAATGGGGGTTCTGCCAAAGGAGCCCCAGCAGAGACCCCATTTGTGTTGAGGAGACCACCAGGAGAGGGCAGACAGGGTCGGGAGGGTCCCTCTTGTCGGGTGGGTTCAAGCTACCCCACTCCACCCGGGACAGGACAGGGGTCCCTTCATGCCCCATAGCTGGAGTGGGGGTCAGGGACCAGCCTCTAACCAACCAAGGGAGCCTCTAACCAACCAAGGTGCTCAGAGGTCTGGGCTCCCCAGGGCTCTCTGTGCAGCCTGTGGCCCATCTTCCCTGCAGGGGACCCAGAGGGGCCAGGGACCAAAGCAGCTGGCAGGGGCCCCCCAGGCGCCTGGACGGCGGAAGCAGCTCTGGGCTGGGATGTAGCCAAGCAATGGATGGACGGTCCTGCTGCAGCGCAGACGGCCCCAGTCAGACCAGTGAGGAACGTTCTAGCACAGAGGTTGCCATGCTCAGCTGTGGAGAGTGCCGGGGGAGCCCCTGTCCTGCCCTGGGCCCGCGCCCTCGCCCGCCCTCGGGAGGAGCAGCGCAGTGCACCGCAGCTGTGACGGGCAGCCGGGCGGCCGTGCCCGACGTGGCACCGTGGGCTGTGGGGGCAAGTTTGCCTGTTGCCCGGTGCAGGCACAGGAGCCCCCTGCAGCCCCGACGCGGACAGGTCCACGTCCACGGGGGGGGGGGGGGGCGGGGAGCGGGGGAGGGGACCAGAGGGGCGGAGCAGCCCTGCCACGCCCCCGTCTCTCTGCCCCAGGCTGACCCCTCCCACCAGGTTGCCGTGAGCGCGGCGGGTCTGGGTGACCGTGACCTTCAGCGGGGCGGGGGAGGCAGACCGGGCAGGTCCTTCCCCGCAGCGGCCATGGAGACGCAGGTGCGCGGGTATGGGCAGGGGGTGGGGTGTCCCCGGCCACCATGGCTCCTGCTGCCGGCCACGAACTGCAGTGCGTGGTGTCGCAGCGGGCGCTGCCTGCGGGAGGGGAGGGGGCTGCGCGGGTGGTGCGGGGGACCCGGTCTGTGCATCTCAGGAGTCCTGGAGGAGCCCGCCGCGCAGAGCCTGCAGGACTGGCCGGTGCCAGCCTGCCCTGGACAGAGCCTTCTGGAAGGGGCTGCCGGCGCCCTGCAGGTCAGTGCCCAGGACAGAGAAGACTGGCTCCTCACGGTGGGCGAGCACGTTGGCCCTTCTGAAGGTGGGGGCGTGGGGGTGGGGGAGCCTTCACTCACCTCTGCTGTTGGCAGCATAGAGGAGGCCCAGGGCCACCAGGGCACCGGTCACCAGGAGCAGCAGCAGCAGCAGCCCCCCCTCCAGGAAGCCTCGGTGCTTCTGTCCCGGCCAGCCAGCAATCTCCACCATCCCTACCGGGCTTTCGGGCTTCCCCATCACCAAGTCTCTAGCCAGGGGAAAGTGCAGAGCTGAGAAACCCCAAGGTCGAGGGCAGGGGCTGTGTCTGGCCTGGGTGGGGACAGCAGGGCAGGGGAGACTCCTGTGGAACCCCGGAGGCCCTGACCGAGGCCGGGAGGCCTGATGCTGGCTGGGAGCAGGTGCTGGTCCTTTGAGGACGTTGTGCTCCTCTCCCATTGCCAAGTCCACACCCGGCCCTCAGCCTGTGTCTCTGGCTTGCGGCACTCTCCCTGGGCCAGAGCCTGAGTGCCCGAGGTGCTGGTGGAGGGGGGGGTGCCAAGTGTGCTGGCCAGGGTGGCAGCTTCTTCCCAAGGTTGGTGTCTCCAAGCCCTCTCTCTGGCAGGGGTGGTCCAGGGACCACTGCTCACAGCTGGAGGTGAGCATCAGGGACCCAGCAGGCCCAGCTCCCATGCTTGCCAGGGGCTACTGCAGTGGAGCCTGCCTGGCCCTTGTGCCAGGGCGCAGGGAGAGCTCCTAGAGCTACGGGCCTGGGCCTGGGTCAGGGAAACCCTCTGGGAGGTTGTGTGGGCCTCAGGGCAACCTGCGCACCCACCTTTCCTGTTTGGAGCCCAGCAGTGGGCCAGGGGTGTGAGGAGGACTGGTGTCCCTGCAGGTGGTAACCCCAAAGGTCAGGAGGGAACCAGACAGGGTTGGTGCTAGTGATTACCTGGCAGGTGTGCGGCTCCTGCACTTCCCTTCCCCACCCTCCCCTGCCTTTCACTGCAGAGGAGACATTTATCTGAACACGCAAGGAAGTGGGTAGTGTGGAGCACATTCCGGGCTGGTGCCATGTATGGGAGAGGGTGTGCTGCCTGGGAGCCAGGCAGGGACAGCACAACCCCAGGACCCTGAGGTCTGTGTGTGCTCCCTTGTGCCAGTGGGTGCACACGTGTGCCTGAGCTCCCATGTGGGCCTGTGCGAATGTGCAGACACATGTGTGCTATGCACCTGCTCTGTGGGCATGCAGAACTCTGCTCTCCTCGGCCTCAGACTCCCAGTCCTCACACACACCACATGCCTGACGTTTGAGCCCTAGCGCCTGCCCTATACCAGGCAGGGCTGAGTTTGGAGGAAGCCAGAGGAAGACAACCCCCGTCCTGCCCTGGGGCAGGTGAGCATCGCCTGCCAAGAGTAGCCAGGGCTGGGCCACAGGTTCTTACCTGGCCACACCCAGGGGTCAGGGCCTCATCTGCCCCATTACCTGACTTGAGAGGAGAAGCCAGGCCTACTCTGATCTCAGGACCCCTCCCCCATAGCCCCCATCACCTCTCTCTGCAGCCAGTACGGTCCTCCCTACCCCACCCCCAGACAGACCCCTCCTCACTCCACAAAAGTCCTTGTTCAATGTCACCTTCCCAGTGAAGCCTTCCCTGAGTCTGATTCACCAGGGCCAGCCTGACCCCAGGCTCATCTCTGTTTTCGCCATGGGATGTGCAATTCAGTGTCGAAGCCCCTTCTGTCTCCGCTGTCTACCTCCCCGCGGGGGAATGTCAGTGCCATGGGGGTGGGGAGGCTCTGTCTGCCTGTATCCCCAGCACCCAGACAGGTGCCCGGTACCCTGGAGGCATCAACCAACATCTACTTAATACTGAGTATCTGAGCCCTGGCCTAGCCGTCTGTGGCTCTGGCTGCACCAGTGTCAGCTTTCTTCCATCAGAACTAATGAATTTGCTCCCTCGTTCTGTTCTGCTGGCTTCTGGGGACTGGATGTGGCAGGAAGGTGCATACACACTAATGCTCCTATCCAGGGCTGAGGGCTGAGCCCAGGGCCAGACAACCAGAAGAGGGGGCCGCTGTGGCCTCCCTGGACACAGGCTCAGGGCCTCTCGGGGTGATTGTGGCCAGCCAGGGAAAGAGGGGTCCTTCGGGGAGGGGAACTGTGTTGGGGGGTGCCTGTCCAAGGTACAGGCCTCACACACGATGGTCTACCCAGCGCCCCCGGTGGGGGACAAGTTGGGCACCTGTAGGGATCTCCTCGGTGCTGCCCAGGGAAGTCCCTGGCAGGTGGGCCCCTCACTCGGCTCACCTTCAGGACACTCAGGGATGGTTGTCCCCCACGGGCAGGTCTCAGAAGGCAGGGTAGGGATGGCCGAGAGCTTCGGTGAGCTGGGGCCAGGTGGGAGGGCTCCAGGGCCGGACAGCAGAGGCTTCAGGTGCGGCCTGCTCAGGCTTCCAGGCCTCCTTTGTGATGTAGGCATGGGTTCCCTGGAGGCAGACCACTTGCCCACAAGCTGGGAGTTCCATCTGGGTTTGGTGTGGGGGGAGGGGTCACAGAACCCCCCAGCCCCCCCACGGGGCTCTCGCAGCGCCAGGGTCCCTTTGGGGGCCTCCTGCCCTGAGTCTTGCCCCCTCCCCACTCGATTCCATATCCAGGGGGCCGCCTAGGGGCTGCTGGGAAGGAAGGCCAGACCCTCGTCCCCACCTTGCCTGAGAACCACCCTGGCAGTGGGCTTTGCAAAGACCCTCCCCTGGGAGTCTGTCACGTGGAACTGTAAGGGGAGGTGGGGGGGGGGTCCCTGCTCCTGATGGGATGGGGTGGGGCTGCCAGGAACTGTTTCTGCCCAGAGACACCCACCCCCTGGCTAGCTTGGGTCTCTGGGGACTTGAGGGTCAGTGGGTCCTGGCCGGACAGAGGCACTCCAGGGCTTTGGAGTGTGAATCCAGTGCCCTGCTGATGGGGGTGGGGGGTGTTGGTTCTCCAGCACTCTTCTGTTTCAGAACCCCACAGAACAGGTGGTCCCCCCAGGACCCCTGGGCTCTGGAAGGGTGTCTGGGCAGAGCTGTCACACCCTGTTCAGGGCAGCCTTTCAGCTTGCCCCCCCCGCCCCCGCCAATCCCCAGGAGGAGGGCAGCCTTGCTTGGGCTGGTGCCAGACACCACCCCCAGAGCCCAGGCAAGGCTCTACTCAGCCTGCTTTGTCCCCCAGCACCCACCCCATCCGGAGGCTGGGACCCCCACCCAGAGTGAGGAGCTGGCAGCCTGGCCTGGAAGGGGATGAGGTCAAGGTCAGGGGAGCAAGAGGCCAAGACTGCCCTTCCTGGGGAGCTTGGGTGGGCCAGCGACCAGCTCGGCCAGCTAGAAGCTCCTTCCCAGAGCACGATGGCCGTGGGACTCCACAGGCAGCACAGTCCAGCCAGCATGCCTCTCCCTGCGTGGCCACCGAGGCTGCCTGGATGCAGGTGCTGGCGGCTGGCTGGAGCTCAGTCCCACCTCGCCCGCCCAGGCTGCCCTGTTCATCAGTTTTATGTGCAGCTCTGTCAGTGGAGACCAGCTGTGAGCAAGCGAGGGGCCAGCGAGCCGTGTGGGACCAAGCAAGGCAGTGCTCAGGCTTCTAGAGGCCAAGAGACCAGGGCAGGGTCTGCAGGCCACGGAGCTACAGACCCCAAGCCCCAGCCAGGTCCCTGGGTGCAGCGAGTCCCAGCTCCCATTGCTGCCCAGGACCTTCAAGAGGGTGGATTTGAATCCTTTCTCCTAGGTGAGCTCAGGGGCCAGTGGAGGCCCCCTGCTCACCCCTTCCTGTCGCTTGGTCAAGAGATGGGAGATGGGTGGTGGCCCAGCCCACCATGGGAGTGGAGCACCACCTCCCTTATTCATCCTGAAATCAGAGCAGGTCTAGGAGTTAGCCTTGCCCACTGCTACTATGGGGGGCGGGGGCGACCCTCAGGCCCAGCAGACACCTGCCCTTGGCTTTGGGGCACACCCCTTCCTGTCCCCCTCCCCATCAGGCGGGATGCTCTGGGGCAGTTCCTGTCCTCTGCACAGAGCCCAGCCCTACGTGGCAGGTAGCCCCGGGCCTCTGTAGGGCAGGAATCAGGCTTCTCCTCGGGTCTGCCCATCTGCCCTGTTCAGAGCAGACAAGGACTGGAGGAAGCCCTCAGAAAGCTAGGGTGAGAGCCTCGCCTGTAGGAGTCCCTCCCACACCCTCCCAACAGCTGCTTCCTGATGCCAGGCCTTGAGTATCCTAGATGGGAGGGAAGGGACTGGAATGGTCTGACTGTCCCTGAGCCCCCAAGCCACCCTGGTCCCCTCACCTGTGATTCATCACAATCAGATGAGAGTAGAGCCATGGTGCCAGGCGCAAAGGGGTGGTCAGGAAGGACCTTGTGGGGCCCAGGGCACATGCAGGGGAGCATGGTCACCAAGCTGAGGAGCGTGGGTGATGGCTGGCAGCTGGTTTGGAGAGACTGGGTCATCCGTCTTTGAACCTTGTTGTTGCTACTCCCATGGTCCCACCCCAGGTACGTAACTGACGGCTTCATAACTAACGAGCAATTCTATTAAATCCTCACTATCTGAATCACCAGTGTGGTTTCTCTCTCCAAAGTGGACCCTGACAGATACATAAGTTGGTGCCAAGAGTGGTCCCCGTCACCAGACAATGACAGTTGGATCTGGGGCCTGACTGCTGAGCTGTGCTCCTTGGGAAGAATCATGGTGTGCAGTGGTTTCACAGCAAATGGCACTGTCACCACAGTGGCTGTGACTCGCCCACCGAATCAGGGGCTGCTGCACGTGGCTGTTCACAAAGTGACAGTGGCCACAGGGACTGTGGCATGGGGTGGGCTCTCTCGCATATCCTGGAGCACATACGGGCAGGAAATGACCAGCTCAGGTCACAGCCTGGGAGTCAGAGGGCTCCAGGGCCCTTGAGAGAAGCTCCAGTGACAGACACAAGGCTGGTGGTGTTGAACCAAACACATTTATTTCCATGAGCCGTGCAAGTACAGCATTGGCTGCATTTGCAGTCCCATCAACTTTCTTATTAAGAGTTGGGATGCTCATTGGGAAGGAATGGGAGCCTGGAACTAGGACGGTGCTCAGATGAAGCTGAGCCCCTTCCCAGTGGATGCAGCTCGTCCTCCAGTGCTGGAGACTTGCCTTTTTTTCCCTTTATGAATCCTGAGAGCCTCATGTGGGTCAGGTGCCCAGAAAGGAGGATGCTTTCTATTCAGCCTCCAGAACCCCGTCCTTCACCCATTGCCTCCAGACCACAAATCAGGTCTAATCTCAGCATCCTTGGTGGGGTGGGGGTGGGTCAGGTACAGGGATGGCTGATGGGTGGGGGTGGCTAGATCCTGGAGGAACTAGCATATGCACCCCAATAATTGCAAGATTCCACCCATTCACAGGGGACCCTGGGAATTTGTGGGAACAGAGCCTGAGGGTGCTAGGCTGTGGCAGAGAGAATACAGCTCTGGGCGGGGCTGGCACCCCCACAGATGCTGAAGATAATGGGCTGGTGCACACTGGTGGCTGGGAGTGATGCCACCAGTTCATGTGCTCGAGTACAATCTTCTCCAATGGCCTACAGTTAATAAAGCTGAGATGCTAGAGCCTCCCTAATAGAACAGAGGAGTCCAGAGGTGTAGGGATGACCCATCCTGTGTGACCGTGCACCCCGACAGCAGTCCCCAGGAAGGATCACAGGGCCTATTTCCTCTAGGCTCTATTTCTGTGATGCGCTGCGTGAACATGTTTCCTGACCTTAAACCATCTCTGCATTCCTGTGTATGTTGCTCAGGGTGTTCTTTTTTAACACACCACTGGATTTGGGCTTGTTGGCATTTAGGATTTCTGAACTGGTAATTCATAGACTGGTTTGCAGCTTTCTTTTGGTTGATATTATGCTTTCTTCAGCAAAGAACTTGGAGGCTTTTCTTTTTCTTGGCATAAAGGAGTTTAAAGACACTTGGAATGGACTATCCTCTAAAGGTTGACAGGTTTTGCCGTCTGGAACTGAGCCTGCTTTTCCTCCATGACAACCGTGCTGCAGAGGCTTTAGGCCGATTGTGGTCATTTAGTTAAATATTTGCCTAGGAGCTAATCCATTTCATCCAAGCCTCCAAATTTATCTGCCTAGGGAAACAATTCATGATGCTTTTAATCTCCTCTGTATGTTACTTTGTATTTGTCACTTTAAAATTTTGTCTCTGTAGTGTGCCCGACATTAAGCTTTTGGCTGCCAGGGTGTCCATTTCAAGACATCCGTGGGGAGTAGGTGTTGCCGGCTGTCTGACACGGCTGTTAGCAAAACAACCAGGTAAGGTGGGCCGCCCATACCTAAGGTCCTCTCAGAAAGCTCACGGCTCCCTCAGTGACTGCTTGTGGGACCCTGCTTGTCTCCCGAGACCCCATCCCAACTCTTCTGCTTCACACTAGCCAATGACGAGCGGCCCCACAGAACCCGAGATCCCACCCGGAGGTGCTACTACAGCAGGATGCCAGGTCCACCGTCACTTGGCCACTGGGCTGTGCAGTGACGGGCGCCCTCAGACCCGAGTGAGACCTACTCTTCTTCCTGCTGGGAGAGCTGGTGGGGCTCGTGCAGCCTTGCGGCCAGTGAGGGCCCTCGTGCTCTCTCTGTCTCTCTCAACAATTAGCTGTTGGCTCATCGACTTATATTTTTGAAGAACTGTGTTTTGCATTTATTCTTCTATTCTTTATCCCTAACTTATTAATTTCCACTTTCATCCTTAATCCCTAGCTCCTGATTTCCTTAGTTTTATTGTCTTTTGCTAACTTCTTGAACTGAACACACACTTCCATTTTCCTTCTGTTGCTTGGTAATCTGCTTGGGGCTGGATCTTCCCTCAGCCCCGCTGGGCTGTCCTACAGGTGCTGCTCTGCACAGGTTTTAGGATTCGTTTTTCAATATTCTTTGATTTCACATTTGATCTCCTCTTGGACCCAAGAGCTGCTTTACACGCAGGGAACTTCAGGATGTTAACTTACAGCTTTGTCATCTTGAGGTATTACTATCTACATGCTCTTGTGGAGTCTCTGTCCTCAGCTGAGCGTGCTCTGCATCAGGCCCGCCGTATCCCGTGGCTCGGGAGCCTGGGCAGGGTGGAACGGCGGGGTGGCTGGAGCTTGGGCCTCAGGAGCATAGGGTCAGTGGAGCCGGCAGCCCAAGGATGCCTCCCTCCGGATTCTGGCTCTCAGCCTCCTCAGGCTGCTGTGCTCGGGGTCTGCCAGGAGGCCGTTCTCCACTGCTGTCCAGGCCTCTGCGTAGCGCTGCTCCTCCAGGCAGGTCTGGCCATGGCACAGGAACGCCTGGGCAGTGGGGGCCCGGCCCGGCCGCTCCCACAGGCTGCTCTGGGCTAGGGTGGGTGCCAGCTTGAGGGCCTGGGCAAAGGCCCCCGTGGCCCCGGCCCCATCCCCCAGGCTCAGCAACAGGCGGCCCCGGGAGCACAGGTCCTCCACCCGTGTCGGGAGGTCCCTGTCCCCCACATCCACCCGGAGGACACGGTCCAGGTCCTCGAGTGCCCGGCCAAACTCCTGCAGCTCAGCCAGACAGGTGGCCCTCAGGCGCAGGTGACGGGCGCTGCTGCCGCCGGCGAGCACGGCCAGTGAGCAGTAGCCCAGGGCTTGCCCAGGCTGCCCTGAGCTGAGGAGGGCGTTGGCCTCCTGGGCTGCAGCCTGCACAGAGGGACAGAGGGAGGTCAGCCCGAAAGCCCAGCCCCTTCCTCGGCCCTGCACAGCTGGTACGGGGGGGGGGACACCCCCGCAGCCCCACCACCCCGGAGCCCGGCTCAGGAGGCGTCCCTCTGGGCTGCCCGCCTCACTGGTTCGTCCCTTCCTCTAGCCCTGCTCCTATCATCTGGCGACCGGCTCCGAGTCTCAGCCCCCCCGTCCCCCCGCCCGCCGCGGTCACCTTCCCAGCAGGCCCGCGGATCCCCAGGCTGCCCCGGCCGGCGGGCAGCAGCAAGCACGGCCTCTGCGCAGCCCGGCCCAGGCCGGGGGGCAGGGCCCGCTGCGCGTTGCGGGGTCCCTCACTACCGGGTCCGGCAAGCCCTGCAGAGCCAGCCGACGGCAGAGCGGCGCTGCGGGCGGCCCACCCGCTCCCGCAGCGGCCGGCACGGCCTCCAGGGCTGCCATTCACCAGGGCGCCAGCCCCGCCCCCGGGCTCCGCCCGCAGAGCGAGGCACCCGGGCCCGCCTCCCGTCCCGCGGGGGAGCTCCGGCCTCCGGGGCCGGCAGGGACGCCGACGGCTACCGGGGGGCGCACCCGCCAGCACGCTCCGCACCCCGGGACCTCAAGCAGCGGGGCCCGACCGCGACCGGAAGCCGCCGCCGCGCAGGCGCAGTGCCGCCGGAGGGCGGGGCGTGCGCCGGAAGCGGACGCGACCTCTCCGATCGACTTCCGGGTCGGCCCGCGTCCCCGCCCCGTCCCCGCCCCGCCCCGCCCCGCCCCGCCCCGCCCCGCCCCGCGGTCCTCCGCCGCCGCGGAGCAGCCTGCCGGGCCCCCTTCCCGCCCGCTTCCCGCCCGCCCTGCGGCTCGCGGGCCCAGACCCCGCACCAGCGCCCTCGCGGGGCCCAGGCCCGGCCAGCCTCCGCGGCGCCGGGACCCCCGCCAGCCCCCGGCCCCGGGCCCTGCCCCCCCGGGCGCCCCCATTCTCCTGGCCCGCAGCTGCTCCCCCTGCATCACCCATGACTCTCGGCCCTTTCCACCCTCCTCCCGAGACAGCAGTGTGGCTTCTGTCGGGGGGGGCGCCCCCAGAGCACCCCCAGGCCCTGCGACTCCAAGCTGGGCTCGTGCTCTTGGCCTCGTCTTCTTGCCGGTCCCTCCACTTGTCTCCCCTGCAGCCACTGAGGGCAGCGCCCCCCCCACCTGCCCCCCCACCCCAGCCCCTCCGCCTCCATCCTCTCCAGCTGCGCTGGCCGCCTGCTTCTTGGCCGTCCTGAGCTCTCTCCTACCCCGGGCCTGGCCTGGCTGTGCCATCATGGTTTCGCCTCCGTTGCCCCCTGGTGACCCCACCGCCCCCTTCTCCACACCAGCTCTCCTGGAGGGGCACCCTGGGATGGGAGGCCCGTGGGGTGGGGTGGGGTGGGGTGGGGTGGGGGGCTCAGGATATTCTTGAATACACAGCGGGATGAAAAGCCAGCCAGAGGCAGTGGGCCTGGCCCAAGGCCCCTCCGCTCACTGCCTGCCTGCTGCCTGGCACTGTGGGGCGGGGGTGGGGTGGCGGGGGTGGGTGCCTTTCTCTGCCTGACCTGGGAGTTGGCGTGGGCTCCCTGCCAGGGCCGGGGCTCCTCTCCCCCAGGCTGATAATGCCTCCTGCAAAGAAGCTGGGAGGTTGCTGGTGTTTAAGGTGGCCGGGCTGGCTGCCCCCTGCCCCTGCCAACTGGAAGCAGGTGAGCAGGGCAGGCAGAGCTGCCCCAAGGACGGTCCGTGGTGCTGGGGCGGCCAGGGTGGGGGCTCCGCGGGGCACACCTGGCTGAGGCTCTGCTGCTCCGAGGCCTCCAGGCGATGCAGCAGGAAGCCGAGTTCCTGGGCGTCGGTCTCTGCCAGGCACTGCAGGTCCCGCACAGCAGCCAGCACATCTCCCTTCTTGAGCTGGAGCAGGCCTCGCCGGGCTCGGGCCGCCTCTGACCACGGGGTGGAGTGCAGGGCTTTTTGCAGGCAGGCGCCAGCTTCCTCATAGCTGCCTGTCCATGATTGGGGAGGGACAGTCAGGGGGGTGCTGGGGTGGGGTGCAGCGGAGGCAGGACATTGGCCATGGTGCTGGGAAGCTGGCCATAGCCTCTCTTGCTCAGTGTTGGCTCAGGGAGAGGCCAGCTGGTGGAGTGGCTCAGCCCTGGGGTCAGAGGGACACAGTGACCCCATGCCAGTCCCAGCTTGCCTGGTGACCCAGTCATTTGTGGGGGGGGGGTTTACTAAAGCCCATGACGCCTAGGTTGAGCAGCATGGCTCTGAGCATCGTCACTGTGGTCACCACAAGGGTCTCTCCCAAGCACCTGTGGGAATATACACTCTGTAGCAAGGCAGCATAGGCTTTGGTGGGGGGACTTCATGGGCCTGGAGGTGACAGTGACAGGCCAGGGAAAGGCAGGCTGCACAGAGCTCTCCCCTTTCACGTTAGTAGTGCAATATTCTCAGGATTCTGGCACATGGGGCCTTGACACAAGCCCCACGAGGATGGGGCCTGGGGCTCCACAGACACTCTAAACATCTGCTGAATAGACATACAAGTTAATGAGAAGGCCCGAGCATTTGGGTCCTTTCATGAAACCCCAAATCGCTCCTTTGTCTCTCCTCCCTGCAAGCAAAACCACATGAGTGAATGAGAGCTTGCACCCCAGGCCCCACCCGGGGACTGAATGCCAGGTACCAGAATTTGGGGGTGGAAAGGACCTCAAGAGGCACTGAATCCAGGGTCTCTCTCTTGCTTTATGGGAAAGAACCAGGGGTGAGAGGGCCAGGACAGACACGTTCCCAAACCTAGGCTGGGCATACCTACTGCAATGAGCACGTCTGCCAGCAGAATGTGCCCGCTCAGCTGCCCGGCATCGATTCTGATCAGCGTTTCCCCCACAGCTAGGAGGCCCCGGGCGTACTCATCGCTGAGGGGGTCCCTGCGGTCCTGCGGCTGGCTCAGGAGGGCCCGACAGTGGGACCAGAGGCCCTGGGCGATGAGGGCCTGGGCCTCTGGCTTCAGAGAGCAGATCTCAGGGACCACTGTCCTGGGGTCGAGCTTCAGAGCCAAGAGGATGTCGTCCAGGGCCTCCTGCAGGGATAGGAGGGCAGGCTGGGCACCTGCCTGGGAGCTGGGGATACCAGGAGGGGCAGACCACCCAGTTCCTGCCTTTCCACATGAGGGCCCATCTGGTGGGCGACACGAGCAGAGCGTGGCGAGCTATGGCTCGTGTACCAGAGTTCTGGAGACGGAGGGATGGCTGGACCCGAGGGGGGTTCACACTGAGAGAGAGCCTGTGCCCTGCAGGAACGGAAGTCAGGCACCAGTGCCCATGGAGGAAACACAGCCATCCTGAGGGCCAGAGGGCAGTACCCCCTCTATAGGCTCTCCCCCAGTGCCTGGGATCATATCTCCTTGCTTCCTAGCACTCCAACCCTTAAGTAGCTAAGAAGCTTGGCAGGCAGGTCACCTCTGGGCTGCAGAGCCTCAGGGCAGACACTCATTTTCAGTACTCACCTGCCACCCTGCTCCTGGCTGAGAAGCGCCCCCTGCCCAGGGCAGGTTTTCTCTGTGAAAAGCACCTGCCTGGAGCCTGACAGGGTGGGGCCCCTCCCACCCCTGTCCCTGCCCACTGACCACCCGAATCCAGGGGCTCTGTGCAGACCGCTCGGGGGGTGGTGCCCAACGAGGCAGCTGAGGTCTTGTTATTTTAAGCAGAGGGAGGGGGGGTCTAGTAGCTCCGAGGGCTTGCACATTCTGTGCTGAGGCTGGGAGGCAGCTGGCCTTTTCCCATGAAGGAAGAGACTTTCTGAACCCAGCAGAGTGATGATGGAGTTTTAATGGCTGTCACATTCAGGACACCTGGCCCTGCTCCCTCTGTGCTTCGGGCTGGGAAGGAAGGTATCCTGGTTCCTTCCAGGTGCCGCCTCCCCTGAAGCACTGTCACCCTCAGCCCACCTGGCCAGCCCCAGGCAGGGAGGGGCGCGGTACCTGCTGCTGGCCCAAGGTCAGGTGCAGCAGCGCCCGACCGCACAGCGCCCGCACGTTCTTCGGCTCAGCCCGCAGCACTGAGTTGAAGTCGAACATGGCAGTCTTCTTCTGGCCCAGGAGCCCATAACAGCGGGCACGGGTGAGCAGGGACTCAACTGCCTGACTCCCTGAAGAAAGGGGGGGGGTGGCAATGGGACGTGACTCCTGTTGGGCTGTGGTGGGTACAGCGTGCCTGCCCTCACTCAGTATCTGCTGGTGCCCAACAGGGGGTGCGGCAGGGGAGGCACCAGCTCTGAGGCCACCTCAGGGGGCTCACAGACCACTGGACACCAGAGCACAGTCTTGGGGGGCGTCTGGGGTTGAGCTGGGTGGACAGAATTTAGGCTGCTGGACAGTCAGATAGAAGAGGGGGGCACCACAGCTGCATCTGGGGTGAGGCCAGGTGAGGGGCCAGGAGACGAACGGGTCTTTGGGATGGACATGGAATAGCTGAAAGTGTGAAGGTGCCAGCTGGGCAGGGAGCAGCCCTGTGAATGTGGGGCAGAGGCCCCTCCCCAAGGACAGCACCACCACGCCCCCTCCCTGTGTCTGTCCAGTGACGGATGCAGTACAAGGCACGGGCAGGATGCTCTGGATCGTGTCCCCTTCCCGACCTCATATACGGGGCCTGAGCTTTGCACCAGGCACCACCCCAGTGCTGTCCCAGAACTAGCTCGCCAAATCCTCACTCCCACCTGTGTCTGTCACCTACCTTGACAAGAAGTAAGTGCAGAGCCACCTGGTGGAGTCCACCTGGTGTTCTGATCCAAAGTCCACACTTGGAATGTCCATGCACCCCAGGAAATTGGGGTGCATCCTTGGCAAAGTCCTTTCCCTCCAGCATGGGTGCCCTATGCCTCCCCCCCTCCAAGAAGGCTCCACTCAGGAGGCTGTCACCCAGGATGGTGCTGGGTGGGGTGGCTGAGCAAATATGGTACACCAGCTACACTCAGACAGAGATGCCCCTACTATTTCCAGGAAGGACTTAGGGGAACCAGGACCTCTCCCGGTTGGAGAGAGAGGGGCCAAGCTGGGAGAATTGCCTCAACCACTGCTGGCCCCCCTGCCCACAGGGCCCAGGGGGTGTGGGCTCGCAGCCCAGAGTGTTGTGAGGGTCCCAGCTCACGTTGAAGAGCGCCCCCCCCCCCCCGCCCCGAACAGCTAGGGCCTCGGGGCAAGGCCTGCTCCGCCAGGGCACGCACACTCCCGTGGACTAAGAGGTTTGGATCCCCCAGGTCTCTGAGCTTCGCATGGCTCCTCGTGCCCCTGTGTACCTGGCACAGGGTGGGAATCCCGGGGGGTGGGCGGGCAGCTCCTACCTGCAGCGAAGATGGCCAGAGAGAGGTAGGCGATGGCCTCCCTGGTGTGGGCTGTGCTGTCGGCCCTGCTGGGCCGCGCCCGCAGGATGGCCAGGGCCCGGGCGTGGCAGTGGCCTCGCAGCAGCTGCCGGTCCTCGTGGCTGAAGACGTCCAGGGTGGGCTGCAGGCAGGCGGTGTCCCCGGACTGGACCACCTTCTTCACCAGCTGCAGGAGCAGGACAGTCACTGGGTTCGTCCCTGTGCACGATGCCCAAGACCGACAGTTCCACCCGTCGGTCCCTCTGCGGGGGCGTGGCCGGGGCGTGGCCCACAGCTGGGGCGCGCGGGGGCGGGGCGCGCGCGGTTAGGCTCGGCCACAGGGACTGCGCGTCTCCCGCGCTGGCGCCGCGCACCGGGAAGGCAGAGGGGGCAGGTGCACGCCCAGGCCGGCCTGCTCCTTTCGTCGGCGTGGGGTGGGGTCGGGCGGGCCCGGTGTCCCCTCCCAGCCTCTCCGCCGCGGTGGCACGGAGGTGGACACCTCGCTCCACGCGCGCGCACTCTGCAGGTCCAAATGAGAAGCGCGGGGAAAGGGGGCTTTCAAACCGCAAGGTGAGCGAGGGTCCCGGGAGTCCTCCCGCAAATGCCCTGGGACCGGTGCCCGCTCTGGGCGGAGGGAGGCCCGGTGGACAGAACCTCGGCCCTCGGAGCGGCTCCGTCCCACAGACCCGATGCTGCCCCTGCTGGCCGCTCGCTGAAGACACAGGCCCCAGAGCCGAACGATAGGTTGGGGCATCCCTCCCTACCCCACCGGTGGGACCCAGCGCAGGGAGACCAGGAACCCGGAACCCATGTGGCCGGCGCTGAAGCAGCTGACAGGCCCCAAAGCCCGACATCTTCCGCGGGAACATAACCTCTGACTCCCTCATAACACCCGAGGGAGGTGAAGTGCTGCTTTTCCTGGGAGCAGGTGAGGTACTCTGCCTCCCCCTCCCTGGACAGGTCACCTCCAAGCCTACTTTACTTGGGAGATTTGGGGCGAAGCTCAGTCTACACCTAACTTTCGGCCCCTTTCCTTTATAACATAACAAAAGCAAATATGAAGCGCCTAGTGCATGCTGGAGAACTGCTGGGCCTTGGGTACCTGCTCCAGCTCTTTCAGGGACAACCACAAGACCAGGGCACAGACGAAGAGACTGAGGGTCAGGGAGGTGAGGGGGCCTTGCTGGAGGTGGCAGAGCTTGGGGCCGGGACAAGTTTTACCTGCTCCAAAGCCCAGGCCAATGGGCTGTGGTCTACTTGCACCTGCCCTGTGGCACCCCACCCCCAGGGAGGGCCTCCTCACCTGGTTTGCATCATAGAAGAAGCCCCTGCGCAGCTGCAGCAGGGCCAGTCGCACGAGCACAGGTGCCGCCTGGGGCCTCCGGGAGAGGGCCAGCAGCAGGGCCTTGTGGGCATCCTCCAGACGGCCCAGGCGGTACAGGGCATCAGCCCCCAGGAGGCTTGAAGCCTCGTCTTCCCTGTCCAGCTCCATCAGGAGCAGGGCCAGCTGGTACACACCATGGGCATCCCTGTGGAGAGAACAGCTGGGAGAGAGCCAGCCCAGCCCCATGCCCACACTCCTTTTAGCTGCCCAGGCAGGTGGGCCACAGGCAAATTCTGTCCCCGTACACTGGGCCAGGCAGCTCCCTTCTCACCCAACTACAGATCCCGGGTCCTGCTGGAAGGCCCCTCACACATGCCAACTCCAGAAGACATAGCTGCCCTCTCTGACATACATCCCTCGGTGCTCACTCCCTGCTCCATCCTCCCACCACCCCATGCATGGGGCAAGCGTTTTACAGATGGGGATGGAAGCTGTGGGCTGACCACAAGCCAACTGTGTCTTAGTTTCCTTTTCTGTAGAAATAGGATAACAGTGTTGGCCTCGCAGGGCTCAGGGGTGTCACAGGCAGAGTTAGATATCACACAGGCTGCCTTTGGAATGTTCAGGAACTCCCACTAGGAAGAGGGCTATAGCCTCCAGCTATGACAATTGCCAGAGACAAAAGTATAAGGGGCCCCCAACCGGAGGCAGAGCTGCTGTCCAATGTGCCCCCCCGGGGAGGCTCCCAGCTCAATGCTTTGAGCTTTGCTAAAACATCTTCCTATCATGTCTCAGCAACCAGATGAGTGCAAATCAAAACAGCTGCAGGTTCACCCATTAGGCTGGGAAAAAAACTCCAACTTGAACATTAGGCCTGAAGTGGGTGGGGCAGCTCCAGGAGTCAAGGACTTCACAGGGGGCTGTGCTCCCAGACCCAGAAACCCCACCTCTGCCCAGTCTACCAGAACATCGTGAAGGCGTCTGGGCTACAATAGAAGGCAAGGCTGTAGGAATGGACAAGGAGGGACCGGGTGTTCACAGGATGGGCCATGGCTTGGGCTGCGCTAGGAATCTAGGGGCAAAGGAAATGTCCCTGATCTACTAGTGAAAAAGGTGGGCTATAAGTTGCAGCTAGAGTGCACAGTTTAGCGAACTGTATTTTCTATGCACAGAGAAGAACTAGAAGGGAATGCTATTGCTGGGTGGAGTGATGGGAACGCTTTATTTTTTCATTCCCATTTTTGAGTTCTTAATTTTCTATGACAGGCCCACAAAGCATCCCATTGTTGGGGACCGAAATTCCTAAGACCTGGGCTCCTGCGCTAAAACTGTGAACCATGATTCAGGGAAATCCCCTAGGGGCTTCCTGCCTCAGTTTACTCATCTGTCAAAAGGGAAGACACACGCACCCCCCCCCCCCAGCTACCTCTCAGGAGACCAGAATGAAGTGGTAGCCCCAGGGGTGCGCCAGGCTAGATTTACCCTTCCTGCTCCTCGGGGCGGTCCATCTCCACGGCCTTACTCCGGCGGCCCTGCGTGTCCGCGAGCCCCAGGTCCGGCCTCCGCTGCAGCATCCTGCGGCCCTCCTCCCGCAGCACCATCAGCAGGAGGCCTCGCTGGTTCCAGGGCACGTAGGCCTTGGCGATGAGCAGTGCTTCCTCGGGCTGCAGGCGGCAGGCAGTGACATAGTCCAGAGCACCCAGGAATGCGCTACCCTCCAGCACCCTCAGCAGCCCCCGGCCACACAGCGCGCGCACGCAGCTGCCCAGGTGCGGCGGCCCGTGCTCCACCACCTCCTGGAAGTCTTCCCGGGCGCGCCGCGTGTCGCCGGCGTGCAGCGCGCAGAAGCCGCGCAGCGCCAATAGGGGCGCGCGGTCCCGGGGGCAGCCCCGGGCGCGGTAGTCCGCGCGGTCCTCGGGGCGCGCAGGCCGCAGCAAGCGCTCGCACAGCGCCCGGGCGCCAGTCGCGTCCCCGGCCAGCAGCAGGCACTCGGCCAAGCGAGTGCCCAGTGCCGGGCGCACCCCGGGCGGCGCAACGCGCAGCAGGACACGGAGCGCGCGGGTCACCGGGGCCAGGAGCTCGCGGCCCGAGTTTTCGCGGAGTTCGGCGCGGCTCCGCACGGCCTCCTGGAAGTGAGCGAAGCCCAGGTCCGCCGCCTCCTGAGCCTGGGCCCGCAAGCGCTCTCGGTCCCCCGCGGACAGCACCACCTCAAACTGCCTCCGCGCCCCCGAAGGGCTCTGGCGGAAGGCCTCGTGCAGGTCCTGAAGCAGGTCCTGGGCCCCACAGTCTAGGAATAAGGCCGCGGCCGCCCGGGTGACCAGCAGAGCTGCCCGACGCTCACCTAGGGAGAGAAACAGTGGCACTGGTCCTGCCTGTTGGGTCACATCCTCCAGGGAGCCTCCTGCAGCCTCCGTGGTCCAGTGCTCTGGACCCTCTGAAGCATCTCACAGCATCTCCCTAGAGCATTCCAATAGCCCGGGACATTGCATCACCAGGATGAACAGTCAGTGACAGAGCAGAATCCAGGCGGACAGCCCTGGGAGGACGGGTAGGGGGGTGGGGGTTCAGCCTCATGCACGCCTACCCAGCAGCATTCTCTTCCTAATGACTTCAGATTTTTTATTTATTTACTCATGAGAAACAGAGCGAGAGAGAGAGAGAGAGAGAGAGAGGCAGAGGGAGAAGCAGTCTCCATGCAGGGAGCCGGATGTGGGACTCAATCGCAGGACTCTGGGATCACACCCTGGTCCGAAGGCCTGAGCCAAACCGCTGAGCCACCCGGGCTTCCCTCTTCCTAATGACTTCAAAGTCAGCCTCACTGCTGGGCCAACAGAGAAATTTAGTTACAAAACCTCTTTATTTTTTAATGATGGATTTGGGGATTGAGAGCCCCCTTTTGTGATTTGCGCCCCAGGTCAGTGCTGAGGTTCTGACCCTGTGAACTTGGGAGGGGCTGGTTGTTCCTCCATCTTCCTTGCTCCTTGGGGCTAAGTTGGGGCCCCAGGCTTTGCTCTGAAACAGGGACTTCGGTCAGGTGCAGGAAAGAGGGAATGGAACACCCAGTGATGCTTACACGGTGGGGCCATTTACCAAATCTTGCAGTGCCTCAGTTTCCTTTTTTGCTTTCTAATGGGGTTTAAAATAGTCTGCACCCATGGGGCCATCAGGATAAAATGGATGAATGCTAGTCTTGTGCTTGGAACAGGGCCCCAGGGGTGAGGTTCCCATCAGCAACAGCATCACCTCACCATCTTCGTACCTCATGTCTGAGTGTGCTCATGAGGATGGGGGATTTCTGGTAACGAAAGCCAAGCCACCCTTTCCAACAGGGCCCCAGGAAGGTGCACCCCATGGAGAGCATCCCCAGAAAACCTGGTGCTGGCAGGAGCTCAAGATCATGGGCACCCACACTGGCATTACAGGTTAGGAAAATACCACTGGGGAGGGAAGGTTCACAGAACTCCAGAAATTCTCAATCCTGCATCTCAGAACGTCCACTCTAGTGCTTTTGGCATGGGGTCCTTCACAGTTCTCAAAGAGTTTTCCCTCTTAACGTAACTGAAGCACCTCGGCAATGATAATCCTTTACAATGAATCAGGAGAGGGTAGAGCACTTGCATTTCTGCTGCCCTGCCCTGTTACCATTTGGGTAAGCATCATGCCACACCTGAGTCATGTAAAAAACAAAAAACAAAAAAACCAACCAACCAACCAACCATCAAGGTCACCCTGTCTAGTCCTGGTGGCCAAAGTAAAAGAGACTTTGGGCCTTTCTGTCAGTTACTAACTCCCGACAAAATACTTCACCTGATTTTTGTATTAACTGGTAAAGAAAATATTTATGTCATCACCTTCTTCTTCTCCATCTTCTTCTTCTCCTTCCCCTCCCCCTCCACTACCACACCTCCTGCTCATTTCTTTCCCCTCCTTTTTCTTTGTCTTGTCTATTATTTTTTTTGTTCTCCTATTATAATGTCAAATCTTTCTAACAATGGACATTGGATATCTATTTATGTAGGTATTGTTTATTGTATTTTATTAAAATTTTATAATATTCTCCACAAGGCTGTATGGTTGTTTGAAATAAATTATTTTCTATTGCTATGGTAAATGAATATTTTAAAATTATAAAGTTTCTATTTGTTGCTGGGGTCTATAAATATAAATGTTTTTTTGTATATTCTGTTAAATTCTGTTCCTATATCTAATATGTTTTTGTTATTTCTGTTGGGTTTCTACATAGCTAATCATATTGTCTAGAATAACTTTGTTTTTTCCTTTTTAGTCTTACATTTATTTTCTTCTTATCTTATTGCATTGGCTAGCATCTCTAGTATAATAATAGATAAATGGGAGAATAGGCAGCTACTATATTCTTGATTTTAAATGGAAGTCTTTATTAAAAAAATTTATTTTATTTATTTTTTATATATATATATGACAGAGAGACAGAGAGAAAGCACGAGCAGTGGAGAGAGAGAAACAGACCTCCCACCGAGCAGGGAACCTGACGTGGGGCTCGATCCCAGGACCCTGAGATCGTGACCTGAGCTGAGGGCAGATGCCCAACTGACTTGCCACTCAGGCGCCCCTAAATGGAAGGCTTCTATCAACCATTAAGTTGATATTTTGGTAAGATGTTGATAGATATTAGCTTTTTCAATTAAGTTTCCTTCTATTCTTTGTTTAAGTTTGTAGGGTGTCAAAAATATAAAATGCTTTTCCTGAATTCAGTGCAATGAGCATATGTTCTTTTTTCTTTCATTAATGAAGGTAGTGAATAATATTATAATGGAAATGTAAAATTATAACTCCTATATCATTTACCTGAGTTTTGGCTAAAACATGCATCAAAAACTGTTGCTCTGACTCAGCAGTTTTATTGGTTACTATTGCTGTACAACAAGCTTCCCCAAAACTTAGTGGCTTAAAAGAATGACCATTTCAACAGTCAGAAGACCCACGGTTCTTCCTCAATCTGGGCTGAGTTGAGTTGAGTTGGATAGTTCTGCTGATCTTACCCAGGGTCCCTAAGGCCTGCAGCCATCTGCTGGCTTAGACAGGAGGGTGTAAGGTGGCCCCACTCACAGGCTGGAGGCCTTGATGTTAGTCATTGGTAGAGCCTTCCTCTGTGTGTGCCTTTGTGGTTCCCTGGTCTAGCTTCCTAACATGGCACTGAGGGTGTTGCAAGAAGATGAGTGTAGAACCTACTGGGTCCCTTGAGGCATGGCCTCCAGAATCACACAACATCACATCCACTGCACTATTTTCTATGGGTCCCAGTATGTCTTGAGGCCAAGCCAACTTCTGCCTCCTTGCTAGGAAGAGCTTTAACAACCATGGCCAAGCTTTCCACCTACTGCAGTAGTTCTTAATGAAGAACCTTGAATGAATGAGAGATGGTTGCTGTGGACACTTTGGGAAGATTAGCCAGTCAGGGAACCTTGGCGCCTGGATGCTTACCCATGGGAGATTTGAGTTAAAGCTATAGTTATGCTTGTCTGCGTAGAGTGTCCCTGTATGTCTGCTTACCGAGAAGGGCAGAGCACTGTCCCACATGAACAGGGTTTGTTCAGTGTTTTCAAGGACCTTTATAATTAGAATACATTTGTTATAGGGGACTTGTTTGTAAAAAGTCTGTTGTAGGCAATTTATTTATGTGCGTTGTAAGCCATGTTTGTTCTGACGGTAGCAATAAAGTGACCCCCTGTGACACAGTGACCTAGGGCTAATGAATGCAGTGATTCTTAGGAAACATAGTCCTGTCCACTTTAGAGCCAAGGCAGGACAGATAAGCTTCCTGGCAGTCCCCTCTGGGTTGGGGGGTGGGCAGGCTTATCTACCACACTTGCTTCCTAAGGTGGTAGCTTTGGGAGTTCTGGTCTCTAGGGGGCTTCTGTTGGTCATTAAGGTGGAAGTTCCCCATCCCCCCAAGGAGCTGCTGAGTGCCCCCAGCCTGAAGTGGCATTGCTCCTGCTCATGGGCCAATGCACATGTCTGTTTTGGGCATGGAGGGCATCCTACTTTCTCACAAGCTCAGGATTCTTTGTGTGTCTGTTGAGCTGTTTGGACCCTCTATAGTAGGAGGGCTTCAGGGCATCTGGTCTAGCACATTTCCAGAAATAAATCTGCCCACTTACTTTTCAGTTCTCTCAGCCTGATCCCTGCCTCCCCAGCACACCAATACTAGGGTCACCAGTGAACCCCATGCAGCACATAAAACAGATGGTTTCTGTCCTCTCATGGCAGACATGGCTGTGCACACCTGTCATCTTGCAAACACCTGCATCTTCTGGCTCCTCATTTTCTTCCTCCTTCCTGTCCTCCTGTCCCCTTTGCTGGGTCCTGCCTCATGGGGACAGTGTGGTGGGTCATTTGGAGCCCACCGTAAACACTCCAGGTGCTCTTGGAAATTGCATATGTTTTCATGACCCTTAAAAAGGGGTTCACCCACCGTGTGTTGGATGAATGGCAGCCAGCCCTGCCGTTCCCCATCTGCAAGTGTGGCTGTCCCCCTCCCTCCATATCGACGCTTAATCCCTTCTGTGTAGTTTGGATTCTGAAGCCCCTTCTTCAGACCAAGCTCCCCTTCATCTTGAGGTTCAGTGTTCAGCTGTCTAATGACAAGTCCCCATGATTGACTCAAGGGACATCTTTTTGAGCACTTAGTGGGTGACACCATTTTAAGGGTTTGATACATACTTCCACTGAAATAAAAACATCCAGTTCAGAAGTGGGTGTAGCCACCATCCCCATGTGCTCCTGGGGAAGGGCACAGAAAGGCCATGCAGCTGGGATTGAACTCAGAGCGTTGGGGGTAGGCTGGTGTGTGGCTTCTGGCTCTGCGCCCACCCACTCACCCACTGCCCACACTCCCACCAGAAGGAGGACACAGGAAAGGGACCAGACAGGTTCAGGATCTCCAACTGGGTGCATCCAGCAAGGTGCTGGCAGGGTCTGAAGCCCCTGTCACCCCCTTCCCTGTCTCCTCCTCTCCTCCTCCTCTGTCACTGCAATCCAGTGGCTAAACTCCTAAACTCATCCTTGACCCTCATCCTCTCTCTGCGCCTCTGCCATCTCCTCCCAGGACTGCGCCTAAGGCCTCCCAGCCTGATCCTCCTCCCAGCTGCCCGGCCTCTCAGCAGCTTCTGTTACCACTCTGGCTCACCGGGCACATTTTGCATGCGGCAGACGAGAAACTATAGAATGTGCCCCAGGGTACTTCACTCCACAGTTTAGAACCCTCCTTGCTGCCCTGGGGGTAAAAGCCAAAGTCCTTTCAGGGGCCAGCAGGGCTTAGCCACCTCTATTTCTTCTGTGCTTCCTCTTCTCCCTCTGCTCCTGCTCCCCAACAGCCACTATGATTCCATTCAGTGGCATGGACACCCCAAGTTCTTCCTCTTTTAGGGACCTGGTGTGTTCTCTTTCTGCTGCCTGGAATCCTTTAGTCTTAACTCAAGTGACGTCTCCTCCAAGAAGCCTTCCCTGACCACCCGGCTAGAGCAGCACTTTTTCTTGGGTGCTCTGTAAGGACAGGGCTTGTCACCATGGTGCCCCCACCCCTGGAACAACCCCCCCCCACACTATAACCAGGACGTACGCATGCTGTGAAGGCACAGCTGGACCAACTTTCACCCTGGCCCTTAGGGGAACAAGAACCATACTCTTACCTTGGGGTTGGCCGCCCATCAAGTTGGACTCAAGGGCCCGGCTGCATGCTGCGCGGCAGTCCTCATACCTGCCACTGCGGAGCAGGGCTTCTGGTGACAGGGCACTGCTCCAGGTGCCCCCAGGGTCCAGAGCCCCCAAGAGTCCCCGGCAGCCGGTCTTCTGCTGGCTGATGGGGTCCTCCGCCTCCTGGCGCCCTGAGATATAGTCCTGGAGGGTGCTGATCAGCATGGGGAGGTAGGGCTGCTGGTGTGTTCGCACAAACGCCACAGTCCGCTCTGCACTCGTGGCAAAGGCCTGCAGATATCCTGCCACACCAGCGTCTACCTGCACCCCGGACAGGATCCAGGCCAGGGCGCGGGTCAGCCGAAGCTCCAGGGCTTGCTGGGAGTGAGCATCCAGCAAGGTGCTGCAGCGCTGAACCACTTCCTGGTGGCGCCCCTGTGCCAGCAGACTGGCCAGGGAGTGCAGGACCGCGGCTGGGTGGTCTGGGCAGAGGGTGGCCAGGAAAGCGGAGGCCTGGGTCCCTGTCAGGGAGACAACCGCCATGCCGTCCCAGTGGATGGCCGGGATCTGGCTGTCACCGCGGCACCAGGCCTCTAGGGTGGCCACCACAGGTGCCCCTTGGGCCTCAGCCAGGGCAGCTCTGACCCTGCGCACGGCCGAGGGGGCGTGGCAGCTGAAGGCAGCCAGGTAGAAGGCAGTGGCCAACAGGGGCTCTCCCAGGGCCAGGTGCTGGTCTCCTTCCCGGCAGAGGCAGGCCACAAGCTCCTGCGCCGACATCACGCCTGTGCCCGTGAGGGGCCCATGTCCAGCTCGAGGGCACCTGGGATGGGGGGAGTGTGGTTAGTTCCCACCCCTCCCCACAGAGACCCCAAAGTCAGTGCAGAGCACCCTTGACGAAGAGCTGGGCAGGGCTGGGCTCATCTGCCAGGGCTGGCCAAGCTCCCTTCCTCTGCAGAATGGGACCCTTATGCTGCCAGGCCACCCACATGAGGAGCTGGGAGGCCTGCGAGGTCAGGGACTCCAGACCCTTGTTCCCCAACCCACCCCCAGCAGAGGGCCCCAGGGGAAGGTGGTACCTCCCCAACCCCTCCCTGTCTAGGTCACAGGGGCCACTCTCTCAGCTGTCTCCAGAGACCCTCCCAAACTCAGGACCAGGCCTCTGCCCGCCTCCCGAAGCCCGCCATTCTAGGGGGGTGCAGTGGGCTGCTGCATGGTGAGGGGCGCTTGCCTGGCTCTTAGGAGGGCTGGGCAGTCCAGGTCAGGGGGTCAGCTCTGAGGTTGGTTCTGGGGACCAGCCCCTGCCACTGCCCTCCACCCTTCCCAAACCTGACCTGCAGGATAGTCTCAGGCCCCAAAGTGCCTGCACACAAGCCCCATCCAATACACAGACACCTGCACGAACACCCGCACAGACACCCTGCGACAGAACACACGCATGCACACTCACACCGGCACACGAGCTCACAAGCATGCTCGCCTGTGCTCCAAGGGCGCGCGGGGACGGTGGGTGCGGCTCCGCCAGAGGGTCCGTTTCCCAGGAGAGCGTCAACACCCCGCCTCCGGGCTGCTCAGCGGCGCCCCCCGCGGCCGGGCGCGCCCCCGCCCCGGACCCTGTCCCCGCCCCGGGCTCCGTCCCCGCCCCAGATCCCGTCCCACCCTGCCCCCAACCGCACCTCGGACCCCGCCCGCGCCCGCCCAGCCCCGGACCCCCTCCACCCCACCCCAGCTCCGGACCCCCACGCCCCCGCCCCGGGCTCCGCCTTAGACACCCGCCTCCGCCCTGGACCCCGCCCCCGCCTCGTTCCCCCCCCACCCTGCCCCGGACCCCGCCCCCAGGCCCTGTCGGGGCAGCCTTGAAACCTTGAACCACGAATTTGTGGGGCTCTCGGGGCCACTGGGTGGGGGCCGGGGCCAGCCCTCGCCCATCCTCGCGGTCCTCCCAGTTGGGGAGGGAGCTCCGCGGAGAAGCGCCCTGCGCCGCGCCATCCCAGAGCTCTGCCTTCCCCGCCAGCCCCTCTTCCCGGAAGGTGCTTCCAGGGAAACCCGCCACCCCAGGCCGGCCCTCCACCTGGGCTCCTCGGGCCTGCCCCTCCGCACTGGCTGTTTCCCACCCCCTGCAGCCCCACCTTTCTGCACAGGGGCCCCTTCCCGCTGACTTGCTGGCTCTGGCGGGGGCAAGGGGGCCGGGTGCCATCTGTCTTGAGCAGGGGCCTGCCCTCCTTGAGGCAAGTCCCAGAAGGCGGCTCTGAGGAGCTGTGACGTTGGCCTGCTGGCTGGGGGTCACCCTGACTGTAGCTGAAGAAGGGGTGAGACATCACGTGATGTTTTAGGATCCCCCTCCATCTCCTGCCATCCCCACCCCAGCAGCAGCAAGAAGCAAGACAGGAGGGCTCTGCAGGCAGGGGCTGTTGCACCTGGGTCTGAGATGCTGAGCCCCACTCAGGCAGCTTGGGGCAGGTGGTGGTGGTGGGGTGCGGGGGGGAAGGTAGATGAGTTGTGTGTCCCCAGAGAAATTATCTTACTTTGGGTGAGGGACTCTTCCAATTCAAGTTGCCAAGGTGCCCAGATGCCAGGTGAACCCTGGTTCCTCTGCAGGGCTCAGGGAAATAGGTGGATTGAGTGCCTGCTGGCAGAGTGGGGGCAACATGGGTGCCATGAGACAGAGGAGGGAGCATGGGGGGCACTGGAAGTGGGAGCTGCTGTGACTCTTTCTCAGGGTCCAGGTCTCCTGGGATGTCGGGCGTTGGCCAGTTGGTTCATTAGGGAGGGCACCATGGGCGGAGGCAGAGTCTGGGATCCAGGTGTGCAGAGGGCAGGCAGGTGTGATGGCAGGGCCCAGTCTCCCTGACTTTCACAAGGGCACAACACCCAAGTGATGAACGTGTTGGTGACAGTTTATTAAGAGATCTCCCATTGCTTTGATTACTTTCACTTAAATTACTCTAATTAGGCAAAAGCCATAATGGAGCAGGGCTGCCACACGGGGCTGCGGGAAGGGCCTGGGGCATGCTGGTGGCAGGGCTGCCTGACATTCACCATCACATTAGCCCTGATGGGTCCCCCGACTCTCTTCCTGCACACAGTTCCTGCAGACCCACAGGCGCAAGCCAGATGAACCGGTGGTCTCAGTGGGTCACCAGCTGAGAGCAGCACACATGGAGGCAGGTAAGCCCAGAGCACCTGCTTCATGCTATGGGGCTGATGTTTCAGAATGCAGGACCATGAGCAGGTATGGCGTATACAGATGTGTGGCCTCGGTGTGACCTGAGTTCAGGAGGAAGCTGACTTCCCGTGGAGAGGGGTTTTTGCAGTTTCTGACCTGTATCAGGTGGCGGTGATTCTGAACACTACCTTTGTGCTACTGTGCCTTTCAGAACTGGACAGGACAGGTGGTGTCTTTGAGGGGGGTCTATGGCTCATCTTCAGCTTTAGGGGGCATGGGGTTTCACTGCGACAGATCCCATAATAACCGCATGTGAACACCAGGCCCCCAGGGGCTGTTCCTGCCCACCCAGCAGCCCCGGTTTATGCTGTCACACTTGGCTGGGTTGAGGGAGGGATGGGGCTGCCCCCGAGGAACTCTTGCACTCCCTGAAACAGCCATGGAGTGGCAGCTCTGAGAGACAGGGGCTCCCATGTCAGGGCCTTCAGCAAGAGCACGTGGTCCCTGCTCTAGATGCCGTGGTAGTCATGCCCAACTCTGGAATAAAGACCCACTGGCCGGAAAAGGAGCTCTGAGCCCATTACCAGGATTTTCTTCGGTTTGAGCAGAAACACAGCAGAGGAGTTGGAAACAGAGGTAGTTTAGGGATGTGGACTCTTGGCTTTGGCCTTCGGATTGACCTTACAGTTTTGTGACTTTCCCCTTGTGGGAGGTGGGCCCTGTCTGTGGGTAGCACAGTGGTGAGGTCGCCTGCCTGGGGATGAGGTTCTTGGGCCTGTCTGGAGCTCATCGTCTACCCCACCAGTTCCCGTGCACAATGACTTCATTGTATAAGGAAACTCTCCAAACCCTTTGCCAGGGATGCTCCTCTGGGAGGACCCACAAGGCCATCAGGCTCGGGAGGTCAGTGCAGCCACCGCCTTTACAAAAGCAGGTGTGCTTTACTCACCCTTACCCGTTCCCTGTCCTCCAGATACCTGAGTGCTCCCTCAGGGCAGGGCCCAGAAACCAGAAGGTGGGGCCGGGCCTGTCCTGTGTCTGCCCCACCCCATCTGTGGACCCTTCTTGGTGAGGAGAGAAGTCTGGGCCCTTCTGGTGCCCCGGAGCTGCCACCACTGCCAGAGCCCAGGTGGGGCTCCCAAGTGTGAACCCTTGGTACCACCTGGGAGGCAAGCTGGCTGGGCCTTGGTCTCTTGGCACAAGAGGGTGGGGAGGCCAACACAGACAGGCCTGAGCTTCGGTTTGGGGATGGTACTGTCCCCCTGGGGGCTTCCTGGGGCTGCCTGGTACCCAAAGGGAAGGCAGATGCTTTACATCTCAGCCAACCCCAATTAGAAAGAGAAACCCCTTAGCAATAGCCCATGACTACATCCAGTGCCTCCGAAAGGTGACTTTGGGCTCTCCGCAGGGTGCTTCCTGATTGGGTGACCATTTGAGGTTCTGGTTATATCTCTAAGCTCAGTCCACCCACTGCCCCATAACTCCCAGGGCACTGTCCCAGGGCGTGTGAGCCCCCTCTGGAGCCCGCTGGATGCGGGGCTCAAGACACCCTCGGGACTTTGAAGACCCCCTCCCTCACTCTGAGAGGCTTACCTATGGCCAGACAGGCGGGGATCCAGGGATGGCGGTGGCTTGTGGGGGCCTGGTTGTCACCAGATGAAATTTCAGCTTCTTGTCCCTGTGGACAAATAGGTAGGACTCGGGGTTGCACCGTCCTCTGGAGCCTGGAGCCTGTGGGGAGGGCCTCTCATCTCAGGGCCTTCCTCCTCACTGCTGACCACCCACAGGCCAGGACCCCTCCCGTGGCCTGGCAGGCAGGGACCACACCTGCGGCATGGGGCTGGCTCCTCCTATTGGGTCTCTTGATCAATAATGCAACAGAGGAGGAGCGTCCCTGCCATCCCCTCACCCATCTGCCCACCTGTCGCTCTGGGGCGTTTTAATCTCCATTACAGAGGTGGCAGCTTGCCCAGGGCTACCTCTGCATTAGGGGCGCTGTTGTGGGTGCAGCTGTGGTTTAGGGAGGAGCAGGTTTGAGATATTTACATCCTAGTGCCGGTGGAAATGGTTCTTCATCAGATGTTTTTATCAGGGAGGCTTCTAGGGCTCCCCTAAACTAATAGGACCTCCTCCCTCCCTCTCTCACCTGTCCGTCAGCCCAGCCATCCTTTCCCCCTTGTTGTACTCAACCCTACCTGTTCCTCCACAAGCCTGTCCCTGCCCCAGGGCCTTTGCACAGCCAGGCCCTCTTCCCCTACACTTCCTCTCTCGTTTTCTTCAGGTTTGGGCTCACTGGTCCCTCCTTAGAGAGACCTTCCAGGATTTCCCCTCATCTGAAACAGCTCCACATTTCTCTCTGCTGCCTCACCTGCTTCAATACCTGGCACCATGTTCTTATCTGTTGTTGGTTTTTCTCTTTGGGATGTTGGTTTCAGGAGAGCAGGGTTGGGCTGCTATTGCCTGGCAGGCACCTGGCAGATGGGAAAGGAAGGAGGGAGGAAGGAGGGGAGGGAGGAAGGGAGGAGGAAGTTCTGAAAGTTTCTTCCCCCAAAGCTACCCAACTTCCTCCTTTGCCTTTCCCTTCCCCTGAAACTTGGAGCCAATGGGGAGCAGC